TTCTGTGTGTGTAAAAGTGATGAATGAACAAGATTTGTAGGTTTAATGTCTAGCTCGATTTGGGTTCATTTTAGCCTAGCAGTGTAGTAATTTTAAACCATAAAAAAGCAACCCAGCATGCTGGGTCAAACATATAACCCAACTTGTTGGGTCAAAACAACCCAGCGCTGGGTTCGTCCCTTTTTGACCTAGCGCTGGGTTGCCAAAATAACCCAAATTGGGTTGTTTTTAACCCAGCAGTTTTTAGAGTGTATTTTCTGAATAAAAACGTTGCTTAGTATTATTTCCAATCCAATGAATAGATGCCATTTGAGGCTTAAAAAAGCAATAAAGGTTTTTCAGTTTGAGGGTTTTCAGCTTGTTTATTTTCCATCTAAAAATATGGCATGCGGTTGCTTCAAACAATGATATAACATCATTCAATGTAAATTGTGATAATCGTAATTAATAATTGCAATTAATAAATCGCAATTACAATTTCAAGGGAATAATCGACAATTATGATTTTTGTCATAATCGTGCAGCCCTATTCTGACGTTTGTTGCACGTATCGCATTGTCACATGCCTTGTAAAAATTCATTAAAATGTTACTGAGCAGCTGACGAGTAACAGTTTCAGCGCAGATTTCCCTCGCGTTTTGGACTTTGCACAGATTGCATTTAAAAACATGAGACGCAGTCAAAAGCAATAAACCTCCACAAATTCGCGGCGTGTTTTCTAAAAGTTTAAACTGTTTTAACTTTGCATGGCTACATCTCTTCTGTGCGGCGCGAGTGCAGCAGTAATATTTGTCCGTCTAAAAAATGCGCTGAATATGCATCTGTGTGAATGGCTTGGTTTCGGTTTTCACCTAATCAAGATCTTCTCCGTATTGAGCTTCTATATTTCTCTAATATTTTGAATGAATAACACAGCAGAGGCGCATTTTGTGAGCTAGACTAACAAAACATTCAAATGCAACAACGTACGTCACTTACATCATCACCGCATCTCGCGCGCCACTGATAACTCTCCCTCACACTCCTAACATTCAAATGCAAATGTTTAAAAAAAGATTTTAAATTTGACTAATATTCATTCTTTATTCACAATCTCCTCATCACAGGCAGGCACAGCACTCAATTCAGCATGTGTTCGTGTTTGTGTGTGCTGTCTGCCTCACTCATAGCACGTGCCTATATCGTGTGCTATATCAAACGTTTTTTCTATCGTTATCGAAGAAGGTGTACCGTCGATAAATATCGATACCGTTTTATCGCCCGGGCCTATCGTATAATATAACGAGTGGTTCCCTGCATTATTTTAGGAAAACGTCTTGTGATCACTGTATTGAGCCGCTGCAGTCAAGCAGCTCTAATATGCCATTAAATTAAAGAAGAAATACCATAGAGCAATACAATGAACAGTGAAAGTAACAAAAGCTTATACATTTTAACAGGTATGATTATGTGTGAAAATGACTGAAGGAAATATATATTTGCTAAATGGAGCCAGCTATATGATTCATATTTTAATATTATTATTTTGTTTCTGTACCCAATATATATATATATATTTTTAAAAAATTAGAAATGCAATGAAAATACAGGTATCGGCGAGTACCAAAAATTTAAGTATCGTATCAGACTCGTTCCGAAAAAAGTGGTATCGGTGCATCCCTAATTTTAACACGCATGCATCCTACCATACAAAATCAAAATACATTAACTTCATTGCTTTTGATTGATTCAATTTTCACACTCTCTTTTCCACTTTAGCACAACTACAAGAGAAGCATCAACAATTTTGAGAAAATAGTTACTGCATTTTGGCTTTGCAGTGCAGAATGAGTGACAAACATTTACAGCAATGACCAAAAAGAGGAAAATGACTGTAGAAGACAGTTTACACAAATGCCACTATCAGCGCCCCTTGCGGCAATGCTGAACATTCAATTTAGCTAGCAGTACATTCCATTTATCCAGCCCTAAATGAATTAGAAACATCACCATGCTGCACCACATTATATGTTACACCACAAACAATCACACTGAATGGAACAAACGCTGCCTGCACTAAGCTAACAAGCGTAATAAAACTTGATGATTCTTTTATTTATTATCATGGGTACCACTGCAGGGACAAACAAAGAAGCCTAACCCAACAATGCACAATGAATGCCAATGAAAAGGCCAGCTATATCAATATCC